AAGAATATGGAAGAAATGTTACAGCAAAACACTTTGATTTAGATGGTCCAATGATTGGAAGATAGGTTAAGAAAAGTAAAAAATTAGAAAAAGAAAGTAAAAAAAAAACGTGTTGGCTCAAAAAGAAAAGCTTTTTATCCTGAAGTAGAAAATCTCTTATATATTTGGATTATGGAGTAGAGAAAGAAAGGTTTATCTGTTAATTATGTTTCTATTAGACTATAAATGTCTAAATTTCTCAAAGAACCTACCATCTAAGTATTGTATCTAATAGAAGAATATGAATTTCAAGGAAGTTTTTCTTGGATTAGTTCTTTTATGAAAAGATTTAACCTATCATTAAAAAGAAGAACTAAAATTTCACAAAAATTACCTGAAGATTTAAAAACAAAATTAGAAGAATTTAGAAGATTTGTTATAAGGTTGAGGGTATAGTATAATTTTGATTTAAATAACATTTTCATATGAATGAAACTCCTATTTGGTTTGACATGTTAGGAAATTTAACTGTCAATAATAAAGGAGATAAGACAGTGCATATTTGTATTACTAGAAATGATAAAAATCATTTTACTGTAGTTTTAACTTGTTCAGCTGGTATAGAATTGTTAATTTTTATTTTATTTTATATTTAACTAAATTTAATAAATACTTTTTATTATTGCAGATAGTACAAAATATCCTTCTATCTGTATCTTTAAAGAAAAACAACTTCCTCATGATGAAGTTATTTCAAAAAGTGTTATTTATTGGTTTTAAGAAAATGGATGAATGACATCAGATTTAATGAAAAATTATATTGATTTTTTATTTAAATTTCGTATGTCTGAAAAATTTGTCAAAGAATTCTGCTATGATGGTATATGATTCATTTCGAAGTTACTTGAAGGAAAATATAAAAGTTAAATTTAAACAGCATAATTTTCATTTAGTTGTAATTCCAGCAGGATTAACTAGTGTATGTCAACTACTTGATGTATCAATTAATAAGCCTTTTAAAGATAATGTTACACTTAAAATTAATATTGTCAACGGAGCAATTGACCAGTCATAATGAAGTCACGTGGATGACGCAGTATGACGATCTTTTAATCCAGA